GGCGGTCAGCAGCCTATTGCTTGGGATTACACTGGAGCCGAGCTCCGCTACCAAACTTGGCAGGAATCCTTTTAACTGAGCCCAAGCGCGCTACACAATCAGCATCTAGGTCACATGTCCGGGAGACTGCTAAGAAATCCACTCTTTGAGTATGCCATTGCTGTCATTGCCATGGTCACCATTGTTCTTGTGTTACTTACAGCCACTTCCACTACTGCCAATGTTACCATTGCCACTGTGTTTATGAACAACAGGCCTCATTATGATCTCATCCCACCACGATGACTTCTGCCAATACATACTGGGTGGGAAACAAAAAATGCTCACGGCCCCTACTCCCAAGCTCTCAAGCCTTGGAAGAATTCCATTGTTGACGGTGGGTCTTGATTGGGTCGCACACCACTGGAGGGGAGCAGGGAGTGGCCGTTGCTGGTGGTCAGCAAGGGGAAGTAGAAAGGGTGTTTTAGTGGGTTCCAAAATGTTCCAAATACTCTGAGGATGGACTAGAGGTAGAAGTAGTAGTAGTAGTAGTAGTAGTAGTACAAGTAGTAGTGGTAGTAGCAGTAGCAGTAGCAGTAGTAGTAGTAGTAGTAGTAGTATTATAATAGTAGTATAATAGTAGTGGTAGTAGTAGCAGTAGTGTAGTGGTCTGTAGTAGCAGCAGCCGCAGTACTAGTAGGCCCACCCCAATCGCCCCTCCCCGATCGTAGCAGCCTGTAACCCTTCATCGTCCCCCCCAATCCCAAATTTAGGGATTGGATAATATCCCCGGGCCCGAGGCTTATGTCCTGGCACGCCACGAAGTGCAAAACGTGGGGTTCGAATTGTGAAAAAATGGAAGAGGAAACAATAAGGCTAACGAAAACGAGAAGGCCCAAAACTTGGAAGACGGTTTCCGGAAAACAAAAAGATAACAACTGGTAACAACTTCTCGGTTCAAGCAACAAAGAGCAGGATTTCTACACAACCCGGTCTGCAAGGAATTTCTGTGCACCCGACGGCTTCGCGACACTGTTTACAACTACTACTGCCATTGCTGGTAATTCCTGTGCTATTGCAAGTAGAACTGTTGTCACGGTTTTTACAATTTGGTGATGGTCACGTGATGACCACTACTAGCAATGTACTAGTACTTGGCTCTTGCTATTAATCACCAATTCCTTCTGATACTTTCTGCTGCTGTAGTTCAGCTACTACTGTCATTCTTAATGAAGAATGCAATCTGAAAAAAAGCATCTCTTGCACAGCTCTGTCACTGTAATTACCTTGCACAAAGTCCGTGCGCGTTACCGTGCGTCACCATCGTTTTATGGTCAGAGAATGCTTACAACTAACACAAATACCAAGTCCTTGACATCAACAGATGGGACCGTTTGAACTTTTGGAAGCCGAGGACAGCACAAGCTCGGGGCACTTGGCAGGCGGGTGAGTTGACGGCCTGCTGGCAAGATACTGCAGAAGTCACTTCACAATGCTCTGCTTTCTTACCTGTTGAACGAGCTCAAGCTCAAGACATTTTGGCCAGCACATCAGCATTTGGTGACAGTGTTACATTTGCCACGCTCGTCCTGTGGTCCCCAGTGCTTTAGAGCGTTTGCCACAATCGTCCTGTGCTTGGAAAGCATCAAAAACAAGTGACGCTTTGCTCGAAGTGCATAAAACCTTTACGGAACTTTGTTAACTTTATTTAACTATGGAATCATGATGAACCATGCGAAAATGCACGTGGCCTCGACCAGCTCCAACTCGTTTTAACGTAGAGGTGCTGCTTACAGAACCATCCTCCTGAATCGGGGCTGAATTGGATGGTAAGTCTTTCCAAGGTTGTTGTACTGCCGCAACAATGCACCTTGTAGCAAGGTCTGTATTGATGATGAAATCCTGAACAAGTTTGTTGGCGCACATGGATCTAACACCACGAAATCCGTGCTGACGTGGCAAGGGCGACGTCCAAGCTACTCCCAAACTTGTGCTGCAGCTGCAAGACAATGCGGGATGCGAGGGACAACTCTGTTGTCAGCGTGCGGTACATTATGTGCCAATTGAGCCATGAAAAAGATGTTGCGGATTTTGGTGAGTTAAAATCACCACCCTCTTCCTGGGGGGAGGGCGTCACCCCCTCCCCCCCTTATAAGGCTGGATCGGTTTCAAACTCAGCGCTGAAACGGATTAAGACCTAGGGGGGGTGAAGGTCCCGTGAAATTTCAGATGGCGGTCAGAGGGGGCGAGGTAGGTGGGCAGGCACTGCGCAAACGCAAAATTTGGCGACTGGACATAATTACAAACATG